GGTGACCCCTGCTGGAAATCATCCAAATTTATTGTACCTTGAACCCATTTCATGCCATAAGGATGTCAGCACTCAAAACAAATATATGCTCTTCAAAATATTTATTAGCTGTACAAAACTAAACAACATGAGTTCTGTTTCTTCAAGGTATTTTTCTTGAAAGGCCGGAATGGCTGAGGTTTCCCAGACTCTTAGCTTAATGAAGTTTTGACAGAACATGTCATCTTTTCCTGGTAAATCTTCCTAGAGCATACACAGATATTTCTCTTTACTCCACAGACATTTGAGCTGCACTGAAAATTAGGGACATCTGCCACAAAGAAAAAGAAGTTCAAAGATGTTCAGATGAGTGCGTCTCAAAAGTTTCTGAATGCTAAATGTTGGGAGAGGAACAGTTTCAATATCTTATTCTTCCACTTTTATAAAAATAGACTGTTTTAGAGAAACTTCTAACAACCAGATTTGAGGGGGGAAGACCCACACATTCTGCAAATCAGTTTCTATGATGCTATTCTCATGTTTCGCTTAAGAGTTCCACAATATCCAGCCAGGCGGTGGTGGCGCACACCTTTAATCCTAACACTCGGGAGGCAGAGGCAAGTGGATCTCTGTGAGTTTGAAGCCAGCCAGGGCTACAGAGCAAGTTCCAGGACACCCAGGACTGTGTGACAGAGAAACTGTGCCTCAATAAATAAATAAAAGCAAACAAACAAATAAATACTTTCACAATATCCAAAACCCTTCCAAACCCAACCCTTTTCATGCATCTTCCTCTTCATAAATTGTAAAATAATAGTTCAGAAATCGCTTTTGAAGTCCAAAAATGGACCAGGGAGATGCTTAAAAGATTAAGAACACATTCTGGGGATTAGAGAGATGGCTCAGCGGTTAAGAGCACTGGTTGCTCTTCCAAAGGACCTGGGTTCAATTCCCAGCACCCACATGGCAGTAATCCACTGTCCTTAACTCCAGTTCCAAGAGGATCTGACATCCTCACACAGGCAAACATCCAAGGCAAAAACCCAATGTACATAAACAAACAAACAAACAAACCTCAAAACAAAACACATTTTGTTCTTGTGGAGGAGTTCAGCTCCCAACAGCGTACCCACATCAGGTGGCTCACAACCGCTCCCAACTCCAGTGTGCAGGTATGGACACCCCCCCCCACCTCCCACCAGTGTGCAGGACCCTCACATATCCATGCAGACACAAGCACATAAGATCATGCTAGGAACTGTAGTTTTAGTTTAGGGTGTGATTGTTTTGGGTTTTTTTTTTTATATATTTTTTGTTTTACCTATGTTTATATATACACTACACGTATTCCGGTTACCCAGAGGGCAGAAGAGGAGTCAGATCCCTGAGCACTGGAGTTACAGGCAGTTGTGAACCACCTGATCCGGGTGCTGGAATTGAACCCAGGTCTTCTGCAAGTCCAGCACATGAACTTAACCACTGGGACATTTCTTGAGCCCCTTAGTTTAGGGTGTGTGTGTGTATGTGTGTGAGCACACGTGCATGCTGAGGGGCAACTTGAGCTGTCATTTCTTTGGTAACAGTCACCATAATTTTGGAGATGATGTTTTCTCACTGGTCTGGAGCTTTTCAAGTAGCTTAGGGTAGCTGGCCAGCAAGACCCAAGCTCATACCTTCATGCTTGGCTTTTTTATATGAGTGCTGTGATTGAACTCAGGTCCTTTACACAACCTGGCAACTTTGTTAATTCTGTAATTTCTTGACCTCTGGTATACAGCTAGGAAAAAATAAAAATCAAAGCTTGAAAATCGTCCTTCCTGGGCTGGTAAAGGTGCTCACTGCCAAGCATGGAGACCTGAGAGCAGTCCCCATGACCCGCATGATAGAGAAAACATGCCGAATCCTGCAAGATGTCCTCTGACCTCCACAGGCACATCCAAGTACATGAGCACTACCCATCCCGCAAACAAGTATCACACGCAAAATAAAGACATTAGCTCATTAATTAAAGGGGAACTGCTCATATTTTAGCATAACATTCTTTTTTCTGATAAAGCAAGTTTTAATATTGCAGTGAAAAAAATATATATTGATTTTTCGAGACAGGGTTTCACTCTAGTTTTGGAGTCTGTCCTGGAACTAGCTTTTGTAGACCAGGCTGGCCTCGAACTCAGAGATCCGCCCGCCTCAGCTTCCCGAGTGCTGGGATTAAAGGCCTGTGCCACCACCGCCCTGCTGCATGCAGTCCATTATATTGATTCCTCCTCCTAACTTTTGATTTTTATTAAAGTCAGTCTTCAAAAGTTTATCAATGGAAAATATCTTCCTTAAACAGCAACAGAACTTTGCATCTTACTATTTTTGGATAATCTACATTTTTTGAATCATTACTCAAGATACCTTACCCAACTCTTAGCACATTTTATTGCTATTATGCGTATCCATGAATCTCTGTTAACTTTCCTGAGTCCCTAGTAAGCAAACTATTTTTTTAGGGGGTTGGAGACATGGCTTAGTGATCAAGAGCACTGATTGCTCTTGTAGAGGACCAGGTTTAATTCCCAGAATCCACATGGCAGTTCACAACCATCTATAACTTGGATTCCAGGGATCTGATATACTCTTTTGATTTCCACAGGCATCAAGCAAGCATGCATATGGCACACATACATACATGCAGGAAAAATAATCACATAAAATAACTTTATTAATGAGTGTATTTGCACTTGGTGGCCAGACTTGAAGAGGGCACTGGATGCCCTGGATCTGGAATTATAGGTTAAGTTGCAAGCTGCCATGTGAGTGCTAAGATATGAACTCTAGTCCTCTGTAAGAGCAAAAAGTGCATTTAACTGTTGAGCCATCTCCAACCACCTATTTAAATAAAAAAAAAATTATACTCATCTATTGATGTATGTGCCCACACACATGACAGGCCATGCAGGCGAAGGTTACAGGACAACTGAGTGGATTCTCTTCTACCATGTAGACCTGAGGGACTATTAACATCACCAAGCTCAGGGTAAACCATTCTGCCAGCTCCCAAACTATTTTTTTTTTTACTGGTTTTAGGTCTATCTTTTTTTTGTTTTGTTTTGGTTTTTTTTTTTTTTTTTTTTTTTTTTTTTGAGACAGGGTTTCTCTGTGGTTTTGGAGCCTGTCTTGGAACTAGCTCTTGTAGACCAGGCTGGTCTCAAACTCACCTCCCGAGTGCTGGAATTAAAGGCGTGTGCCACCACCTCCAGGCTTTAGGTCTATCTTTTAAGCGAAAGAAAAAAAAAAAAAAAACCTTATGCTGAATCTAAGCACAACTTTTGGCAACTTTCAGATGGTTTAAGATTTCCCTTTGTACAGCAAATATCAGATTAATACTTAAGCTAACACTGTTCAAAGAATGTGAAATATTACCACAAATCTTAATGAAAAACTCAAATATTTCTTTAAAGCTAGTGCACTAGAAAAATGTACCTTAGAAACTTAAAAACAACCAAAAGATACCAAATATCCACTTTTCTTTGCTCTGAGACAGTCTCTGTGTAGTCCTGGCTGGCATAGAAGTCACTATATAGACCAGGCTGGTGTCAAACTCACAAAGACCTACCTGCCTCTGCCTATGTTGGGTTTAAAGGAGTTGGGACCCTATGCCTGGCCTATCCATTTTTTATACCTTTCTTCTATTGCCTCGCAACTTGTAGCAATCCTATTGCTTCGGCCTTCAAGGGCTTCTGTTCAAGGCTGAGCCATCTCCTCTGCTTCCTCAGTCTTTCCAGGGAGTCTACCTCTCACAGCTGTTTGCTTACTTGCTCACTGTGGAACCCAAGCAGGCCTTGAACTAAAGGCAGTCTTCCTCCGTTACCCTCCTGAGAGGAACTCACGCCTCAACTACCACATCCAGCTCTGAATTTAGTTTAGGATGCCATAAGGCCAGGCACAGTAACAAATACTGCTAACTCAGCACTGAGGCTAAGAAAAGAGTCCTGAGTTTAAGGACAGTCTGAATGACAAAACAAAGCCCTGTCTAAAAGAATCAAAACCAAACAAATGACATCATTAGGGATGGGGAGGTGGCTCGGCGAATCAGCGGAAGAATCTACTCTTTACATGCATTCACCTCAACACTCTCACACAAAATAAGGTTTTGTTTTTTTTTCCCCCAGCCAGGTATCTCTGTACAATCCTGGCTGTCCTGGATCTCACTCTGTAGACCAGACTAGTCTTGAGCTCAGAGATCCACCTGCCTCTGACTCCCAAATGCTGGGATTAAAGGTGTGCGCCACCACCGCCCAGCCACAATAAGTATTTGTAAAAATATCAAGAACAGCTGGAGAGATGGCTGAGCAGTTAAGAGCATTCGCTGCACGTGCACAGGACCATGTTCCATTCCCAGCACCAATATTAGGTAGCTTACAATCACCTGTTGGATCTGACGCCCTCTTCTGATCTGGTATACATACACACAGACAAAATATGCATACAAATAAAATCTTTAAATGGCATTGGGTGTTTAGGAGTGATTAGCAAGGGAAAGGTGGCCCTGGGTTGTCATGCATGCAAACACACACACAAGCCAGCCTCATAAAACTATAAGCTTTCCTCAGTCTAGTTAAAAAGCTATGAATTATATGTATTTTATCTACTTAACCTTTCTAAATTATACCTCATTTCTAGTGTCACATGCAAAGATATACAATATGCTTAAATATATTATTATACTAATAAACACTCAAAACTTTCATGAAATCTCAAGATATAACTATGCACTAAAGCACACCATTAAAGTAAGCTCCACATCCTATCAAATTAAGAATTACGAGTTTTAAGTTCAGCACTGGGATGGAGGTGAGAGGGCGTTAAGTTTCAGGCCACCGTGAGTTACAAGGTGAGAACCTATTTCAAAGAGTCAGCAACTAGGAGCAAAGCATACTCTGTTCTTAGCACTTTATACATCATATTCTATATTTTGCAATGCAGCAGTGAGGGTATATAAAATAGAAAACAGGCACCAGGAAGATTTAGACAAGTAAGGTAAGCACAGAGTGACTTTTAATACACCAGTCAATATTAATAAAACACAAGTCAAACAGACAAGTGCAAATATTTTTCAGACCAAAGTTAATAGGAAAACAAATGAGACATTTTTTTTTCCTTTTGGAGGGCAACATCTAATATTAGCCAAACCTTGTTAGTCAAATGGCTAACCACATGTAAAATGTATTTTGTGTAAAACTTGGAATAATCAGAAGTCATTCTGGCATTTCAAACAGCTATGTACAGTATTACCAAGATCAGTTTATATACACAAACATTGAAGAGAAGCTGGGCGAAACATTTAAAAATAGGCTAACTATACAACCAAGTACAAGACTTGACAGAAGGAAACACGTTTTAAAGAGAAGGACATTATAAGAAAAAAATTACAAAACTAGTTAACAATTATACTACATTAATACAGCGTTCAAACATGGAGGGACAGGTGCACTTTTTCAGTGCACTAGCTTGAAAGTCCAAAGAACAAAAGGCAAGCTGCTCTTCAGGAAGAGCAGCTCCACATTTCACATAATTGTTTTGAAAGAGAGCCTATTAACAACAATGATTGTTTAATGCTAGTCTTACAGCAAGAGGAAACTAAAATAGCAGCAAATTCACAAGGCAAGGCTTCCACAGAATGACTATCCCATGTACACACAATGCCTAAAGTGCTCCCAGTTGGATATACAAGTATAATTCACAATAGAAAAAAGAAACGTAAGACTGACACAGGTACATCGGAGGCTGAGTAGTAGTACTGAGTCTCTGAGCAATTCTCTTTTTGAAGGGAGAGGATGTTCATAGTAAGGGCCTTGAGTCCTCTCTAAGGGTCCCAGCTAGGAAAGATACCTTCCATCACACTGCAATAGTGAATGATACGCAGCACCCACCACAGTGGTTAACCCTGCAAAGGCTGGTGGAACATCCAACAGTGACTGAAATCCTACATGAAACAGATGAGACAAAAGCCTGACATAGCCAAGTCAGAATATAGCTCTCAACTGTAATTCACATAAGTCCTAAAAGGCATTTCAGGAAAATTACTGATACCAATGGACAAAGTAAATTGCAAAGCGGATTCTAGCAGTGATTTAACCTAGCTTCCTCTTGTCACAGTTTTTTTTGGAGGGGGTAGTGGGGGGTGTGAGCAGTTCAGTATATAGTAAGGCTGACAGAGCGGTTCATTTTCTTTCCAATAAGTCGAGAAGCTCTATTACTCTGGGTGGTGGACCTAGTGGCCATCCGATCCGTGAAGAGTGCGCGTTCCTCAGCTGCAACTTTGGCTGCCATCTGGGCTTTCTTGAGTTCTCTAAAAAAATAAAAAAGGAAGCAATACATTTTATTTACCTACTGTATTAATCTTATACAAAGAGTCTTAGAGGCCAAATACAAACTGAATTGTTGTGCTGGCCAGTTTTCTGACAACCTGACATAAGCTAGGGTCAGACAGAAGGGAGCCTCAAGTGAAAAAATGCTTCTACAACATCAGGCTGTAGGCAAGCCTGTTTTTTAATTAGTGATTGGTGTGGAAGGACCCAGCCTGTTGTGAGTGATGCTTCCTTGGGCTAGTGGGGTGGCAGCACACACCCTTAATCCTAGCACTTCAGAGGCAGAAGCAAGTGTCTATGTGTGTGTTCAAAGCCAGCCTGGTCTACAAAACAATTTCCAGGACAGCCAGGACTGTTAGACAGAGAAACCCTGACTTGAAAAAAATAAACAAAAAAAGCAGACTTAGTAAGCCATGAGAAGCAAACCAGAAAGCAATATTCCTGCCATTTTGAGTTCCTGCTTGGCTTCCCTCAATGAACAATGGATATGTAAGTCAAACAAACCCTTTCCTTCCCAAGTTGTTTTGGTCATGGTGCTTCATCATAGTAATAGTAATGCTAACTAGGACAATTGTCATATACTATCAATTATTCTGAGATGCACTTGAGAAACAAAAATATAACAGAGCTTTAGCTTATATACTCAAATTTATGACTTGTGCTTTTAGCATTAAACTATAAAGACATTAGCAAGAATTTTGGGTCTTAAATAATTTCAAATTACACTTCAATTTATATCAAAGGACAAAATTTAATTTTAGAATCTAAGAATAAAATTCTTATTTAACATAAAACCTCTTCAAGTTAAAAGTCAAAATGATAGCAAATTGAATTAGAAGGTGTTCAAGGTCAGCCTCTTCTATAGTAACTTTGAGGTAAGTTAGGGACATATGAGTTCCATTTCAAAAAAGAAACTTGCCTACAATCCCAGCACTAAGAGGTGAGGTTGGGGGTATAGAGGGAAGAGGATGAGGAGTTCAAGGCTAACCTTGGCTACATACTGAGTTTGAGACTAGCCTCGACTATAGGACTATATGATGAATTACTACCTCAAAAAATAAAGAGGACAAGGGGTATAGCTTAATGCTACAGAATTTGCCTAACATAGGCAAAGGCTTGTGTTCAATCCCTAGCCCTGATGTGCAGATGTCATTAGATAGTATGACACATCTGGGCTGGTGATAAGGCTCAGTGGTCACCAGTGCCACCAGGTCTGACACCCTCAGTTTTGATCACCAGAATTAACATGGTAGAAAGATCAATACATGTCATGCGTATGCGGCGCATACACAAAATAATGAAATGTAATTTTAAAAAAATAAGCATGAGGACCCCCAGCACCCACACAGAAAGCAAGGTAAGACTGAAGATTTAGCTCAGTGGTAGAGCCTCAGCCATGGGGGGGAGAAGCAGTATAGGTGTGATTGCACATGCCTGTAATCTCAGAGCTGTGAGGCAAACAGGAGAATCCTGATTGCCCAGACAGCCTAGAAGTCTATATGAGCTGGCATGCTCCAGGTTCATGAGAAACCCTATTTCAAAAATTAAGTCTTTTATAGTGATGCATGCATGCATTTAATTGCAGAGGCAGAGAGGCAGAAGGAGGTAGATCTCTGAGTTGAGGCCAGACCTTACTCTTCATCAAGACAGGAATTTTCTGTGTAGCCCTGGCTGTCCTGGAACTCCCTATGTAGACCAGGCTGGCCTCAACTCAATTAAAAAAAAAAAAAATGTAGCAACATAATTGACATTAATTTCACAGTTTCATCAACAGGCTGAAGAAAATGCTGTAGGAAAACATTAATGTTGGTAAGAGTCTGGGAGAAATATCTTACAGGTTGATTCAACTTCTACCATGATTTAGAGCTTTGAGAAAACGACCACTTACACGAAAGCATGAAAACCAAATATAGAATATCACAAAACCTAGGAAACAAAAGCTCTGAGCCTTCTCTTTACTCTTTCTTTACATCCCATAGCATTCTCCCCAGGTCTCTGTGCTGGGGATGAATCCAGGACCTTGTGCTCAATGGGCTAAGTTCACCTTTTTTTTTTGGGGGGGGGGGGGTTGAGACAGGGTCTCTCTATGTGATAACTCTGGCTGTTCTGGAACTCACTTTGTAGATCAGGCTGGCCTCAAACTCAAAGATTTGCCTGTCTCTGTCTCCCAAGTGCTAGGATTAAAGTCATGCACTGGCTGGCTAAGTCCCCACCTTTTCAGACAGGGTCTCATTTTGCAATCCTTGCTGATTGTGACCTCCCTCTGTAGATTAGCCTGGTCTCTAACTCACAGAGCTCTTCCAGCCTCTGCCCCTGCCTCCCAAGTGCTCGGATTAAAGTGTGCCCCACCACTCACTGATCCTTTACTTTCTGAGACAGGTTCTCACCAACTTGCCCAGGCTGAGGCTCAACACTGTTGAAAAATTTGAACTTGAGATCCTGCTGCCTCTGCCTCCACACAGCTGGGATCACATGTCTATGTCACCACACCCAACTTAGCCTTAATATTTATCATGTGTCTAGTTGTATAGGTACACACTTGTGCAAGTGCATACAGAGGTCAGAGGTCAACATCAGACGTCTTCCTCAATTGATATCCAAAATCTTTAATGTTTGCAACATAAAGCTTTTTTAAAATTATTTATGTGTATGGGTGATTGTTTCATATGCATGTATGTCCATGACTCATGTGTGCGCCAAGGAGACCAGGAGAGAGCAATGGGTCTCCTGGGACTGAAATCACAAACACCTGTGAGTCTCCAGTGTGGTGCTGGGAATTGAACCTCAGTCCTATGGAAGGACAGTCAGTACTCTTAATTGCTGAGTCTATCTCTCCAGCCCTCTTTCACTGAATCTAGAGTTTGATAGTTCAGCTGGGCTGGTAAGGACCAACCTGTTTCTGCCTCTTCAGTGCTGAGATTACAGACACAAGCCTCTGTGCCCAGCTTTTTACGAATGGGTTGGTAACAAACTTTTTACAATCTCAGATTCTCATGTTTCTCACCTTACCAACTGAGCCACAATGCCCAAACCCCACTTAAAGTACATAATTGCAAAGTTTGACAAAAACCCTAAAGGACCTCTCAGAATTTGAGAATCAATGAGAATTAAATTTAAAAAATTTTAAAAATTAAAAAAAAAAAAACAGTAACAACAAAAAAAATTTACTTACTTCTGCAAAAGAGAATTTTTGAATTTCTCAGCATTCAATTCTATTCGTAATTGCTCTGCGCTCTTTCTAGATGCAGATAGCAACGCTGAATGCTTCACCAGCACCATCGCTGAAGGCCTTTTCTCTGGATCAGGATGAATCATAACCTGAGAAACAAAAGCAAAATTATGATTAAAAACTACTACTTATAGCTGAGCATGAAGGCACATGCCTTTAATACTAGCACTGGGAGGCAGAGGCAGGTATATCTCTGAGTTCAAGGCCAGCCTAGTCTACAGAGTTGCAGGACAGCCATGGCAACACAGAGAAATGAGAAACTCTGTCTTGGAAAACAAAACAAAAAAATAAATCTACTACTTATGGCCAGGTGCATGCCCTTAGGTCCCAGTACTCAGCAAGCAGAGGCAGACAGACCTGAGTTTGAGGCTAGCCTGGTCTATATAGTTCCCAGGATGAGCTACAGACACCCTACCCTGTCTCTAGAAAACCCAACCAAACAAGAAAGACTACTACTTAGAACAATCCTTTTCTATACTATGAACATATATTACTCTCATGGGTTAGTAAAAAGCTAACAGGCTGGTAGCTGGGCAGGAAGTTAGGCGGGAAAGCTAAACTGAGAATGATGGAAAGGAGGGTGGAGTCGAAAGATGCTAGTGGCAGTCCAGGAAGCAAGACACATGTAGAAGACAGGTAAAGTCATGAGTCACGTGGCAATACACAGATTAATAGAAATGGGTTAATTTAAATGTAAGAGTTAGCTAGTAACAAGCCTGAGCTACTGATAGAGAATTTGAGAAATATTAAGCCTCTGAGTCCCTGGTGGTAGGGACAGGAAACGTCTGGCTACAACACTCACTTTTAGCAACTCTGTCAACTCCTGGGAAAGCACTTGTGGAATCCTGGGTAATCGACCCTGCCTGATTTCATGCCACTGGTCTCCATTTCGGGGTAGGGGTTCAGCACCAGCAGCACATACAACTGTGAGAGCAAGAGCAAAAATATCTGCTTTCGGTAGATGGCTATAGTTCTGTAAAATTTAAAAGAAAAAAATTAGTGGTCAAAATAAAATATTGTGCACAATGATGGTCTAGGTAAAATCACATTAAAAAAACCTTTCAATGCCACATTTAAGCATCTATTCAGGAAATAAGCTGCTAAATTTAGGAGGATGCTGACTTTTTTTTTAAATTACAAATAATTAAGTACATATCTAAAAATAGATGCTGCTTTATCAGGTGCCCAATGACATGCTCTGAAGCAAGTATCCTGCCCGCTGGAGATGCATATGCAGACAATGTGTATGGAGAGAAGAGCAAGGAGACTAAACAATTAGACGCCATATGGCACAATATGTCATAATCTACCTTTCATTTCCTCAGTAAATACAACATAATCATTCTTCTGACAACTGCTTAAGTGGGACAAAGCAAGTACTGTAAACCAAGGAAAAATAATTACCTCTTGTAAAACTTCATTTGCTAGAAAACGACTATCACCTTCTTCAACTTGTGGACTAGAAATTCTTGTCACATGCCCAAGATCACCTAGACGGTTTAGAAAAGTACAATAGCTCAGTTAGCAGAGCACTCACCCAGCATGCACAAGGCCCTGGCTTGGTATCTATAACCACACAAACCAGGCATGGTAACACATGCCTGTAATCCTAAGACTCAGGGTAGATGCTATCCAGGCTACACAGCAAGTTCAAGGAAGCATACTGAGATACATGTAATGCTGTTTCAAAGTATATAAATATGGACTGGAGATATGATAGCTCACCAGCTAAGAGCACTTGCTCTTTTCAAGAACCAACAACATTCAGTTCCCAGCAAGCACATAGTAGCTCAAAACTACTTGCTACTTGAGTCTCTGGGAATGCTTCTTCTGGCCTCCTTGGGCACTAAGCATATACATGATGCATTTATATTAAGGCAAACACTCAAAAAGAGGATTATGGAGATGGCTCAGTGGAGGAGGTACTTATCAAGAGTAAGGAGCAGAGTTCAGATTCTCAGAACCCATGTAAAAGCTAACACAGGAGCACATGTCTGCAAACCCAGAAACTACCTTGAGATGGGAAGTGGAGACAAGAAAATCCTAGGAACTCACAGGCCAGCTAGTTCGGAATCCAAAACAGGGTACAACAAACAAAAGACCCCAACATGAAACAAGATGGAACATGCGGACTAACACCTAAGCCTGTCCTCTAACATTTATACGTGCTCTGTTGCACATGCATGCCCACCATGTCCATACTACACTTACACACACAACCAACCTCCCACCAACCCCTCTTAACTTTAACATAACAGTTATCACAACAGTTAACAAAAGTTTTACCTATTTTAAACATAACTTTGTTGGATATCCAGTCATCTTCATCTCCTTCTTCAGAGACAGCATTTGGGATTGAGGTTCGAGATATGAAAATATTACCTGTTGAATAACAATATTAACAAACAAGGCCAAATATAAAAACTACCAATAAAGCCAGGCATATTGGTACACATCTTTAATCCCATAACTAGGAGGCAGAGGCAGTGGATCTCAGAGAGTTCAAGGCCAAGCCTAGTTTACAAATCAAGTCCCAGGACAGACAGGTCTGTTACACAGAGGAAATCCTATCTCGTAAAGAAACCACACACACACACACACACACACACACACACACACACACACACACACAAGATTTAAAAAAAATTAAAATCCATAAAGTTGGTGAGATGGCTCAGTGGGTACTTGCTACCAAGCCTGACAACCTGAGTTCAATCCTCAGAAACCGCATGGTGCAAGGAGGGAAGAAAAAAAAAAAAAATCACAGAAAAAAAATCATCCAGAAAATCTTAAAAATGCATATTTTTTTCCAACCCAATCTTAGTGAGAATAACAACCTCAAGGGATAAAGATGAGGCTCTACGCCTGGGTAATATATATGTATGTATGTATATGTATATGTAGAGGTTTACAGAGACAGGGTTTCATGTGTAACTTTGAAGCCTGACCTAGAACTCACTCTGTAGATGGGGCTGGCTATGAACTCAGAGATCTGCCAGCCTCACCTTCCTGGGTGCTGGCATTAAAGGTATATGTCACGACCACACAGTAGGGAATATATTTTTTTAAGTTTAGCAATGACCTCTAAACATTTGGGAGTCACTGCCAAGACCCTTTTTGCTTATATATTAATCTTCAGTATTCTATTAACTTAGAAATAACATAAAAACTAATAGTAATTCAATGCTGAAAAAAAAGGACCCACTAATCTTATATTTTAGATTTACTCATTTTATTTTATGCATGATTGTTTTTGCCGGCATGTATGTATATGTACCATGTGTGGTCATTGACCATGGAGGTCAAAACAAGGCATTGCTTCCTGTGCAAATGGAGTTATGGACGGTTGTGAACCACTAGGTGGGTGCTGGGTTCTTTACAAGAACAAGAGCTCTTAAACTGCCAAAGGATCTCTCTCCAGCCACAATTTTAATCTGATGTTATCAGGCTGGAAAAGAAGAATGGGTCATTAACTACCATTCAGTACCTACATCCCAATACTGTTTATGGCTTATTTCCTACTACAAACAATACTTTTCTTAAAAATCACCTCATTCTGACTTAAGTCTGAATGGCATATTTGTTTTTCAGTATGTGGTGTATGACATAATGGGTATGTGGGCTAGAGATTAATGTCAAGTCTTCATCCATCCTTTTCATCTTACTTTATGAGATAAGGTCTCTCACTGAACCTGGAACTATTAGTTTTGGCTATACTGGCTGGCCATCGAGTTCCCAGAACCCACCAGTCTCTGTCCTCATCTCACTCCTATGTGGGGTTACAGATGCAAACTTCTGCGCTCAGCTTTTACACAGGTGTTAAAGATCTGATCTTTGGTCCTCATGATTGCACAGCAAGCACTTTTTACCCAATGTACCATTTCTCCAGACCAGTGTATTTCATTTTAATAGATTTATCAATATTACATTGATTTTAGTATAGCATAATTATTACTCATCTGTGAAGTTTCACTTTATAGGACAATATATTCATGGTGATATTTGTTTGTTTGTTTGTTTGTTTTGTTTTTTTCGAGACAGGGTTTCTCTGTGGCTTTGGAGCCTGTCCTGGAACTAGCTCTGTAGACCAGGCTGGTCTCGAACTCACAGAGATCCGCCTGTCTCTGCCTCCCGAGTGCTGGGATTAAAGGCGTGCGCCACCATCGCCCGGCCTCATGGTGATATTTGTAATTTTGAATTTTTTCAACCTCAGTACCATAATCCACCCCAACAAAAATCCTTTATGTCCCTTAGTATTT